GGACAATAAACTGAGTATGAGCCATAAGTGTGCCCTTCCTGCCTATGAGGCTAACAGCATACTGGGCTGCACAGGTAAGTATGTTGCCAGTAGGTCAAGGCAAGTATTTCCCTCTATTCAGCACTGGCGAGGCCACATCTGGAGTACTGTGTTCAGTCCCTCACTACAAAGGATGTGAACAAATTGGAAAGAGTCCAGCAGAGGGCAACAAAAATGATGAGGGAGCTGGGGGTAATGACTTATGAAGAAAGACTAAGGGAATTGGGCATATTTAGTCTAGAGATGAGAGGACTGAGAGGGGACTTAATAGCAGCCTTCAATTACCTGAAGCGGGGGGACAGGGTTCGAGAGAGGATAGAACTAGACTGTTCTCAGTGGTGGCAGATGACAGAACAAGGAGCAATGGTCTCAAGTTGCAACAAAGGAAGCTTAGGTTAGATAATAGGAAGAATTTTCTCATTAGGAGGGTAGTAAAACACTGGAACAGGTTACCCCGAGAGGTGGTGGAATCTCCATCCTTGGAAGTTTTCCAAGCCCAGCTAAACAAAGCTTTGGCTGGAATGATCTAGTTGGGGATGGTCCTGCTTTGAGTAGGGGGTTGGACTAGATGACCTCCTGAAGTCCCTTCCAATGCTAATTTTCTATGTTTCTGTGAGAAGGAACCATTGACTTGGAAATTTAAAAAGGGGCCTAGACAATAAAACATTAATTCTATAATCCAGTAATGCAGCCAAATTTCAAATGCCTTCTTCATTCCCTCATAACCCCCCATACACCACAGTCAGCTGTTTCAACTGAATGTTTTGGTACAGATTGAAAAGATAGGAGACATCTGTAAAATTCCTTTTCACATCTCTTCCTCAAAAGGCAGGAAGTTCTGAATCTGAGATTTATTTTCCCTAATGCTAATCAAACAGTTCCTCTTCTTCCTTTACCTGGGAAAGTGGGTGAGGGATCTAATTTGCTTCTGCACACCAATATATTCATTTACCTGTGACCTTTGCAAAGGGTGCTATCAGATGAGAGCTGCCCACCCATTCATTTTGTCCTTACTTTTCACATATGGAAATAGATGCATGAGTAATCCAATGTTAATGAGTATGCTTCTAACCAGAGATTATGCTTTATAAACTGTGTAGGAAGGAGTCTATACTCTTACTTTCTTCCCTCCCTCCCTGCAGCTTCTTGCATGTTCATAGAAACCATCCTGCAGTCACCTTGCTTCAGTAGGAACCTCACTAACCACATTTTAATAATAAAATCATAGGTTAGTTCAATGAAATGATAAAATTCTAGGTAGCATTGTCTTGTATCTGCCTAAAATCAATTTGGTTTTATGCATGGCTTTGTTAGTATGCATAATAAACAGCTCCCATTTTTAATATAACCTTCTGCTGAAGGATAAGCATTCCTTTCTGCAGAACCAAACTGTACAATCAGGAAAGACATTTTCTTCCACTTGCTAAAAAAGAATGTTGCAGGATTCCAGCAGGAAGTTGAAGGATTTCACTGAGTTGGCAGAGTTCTTTCACCTCCAGTGCAACCTATCTGAAGAACTGTGCAGAAACAGTAACACAATCTAACCTTCCAAGGGAAAAAAACAGCTATAGTCTTCAAAATTCCTCTGAGAATACCAGAGAATTGGAGTTAGAACTGTAGCTGCCAGCAAAGCTTTGTGGCGATAGGGAGTGGTTATGGGAACATCACACAATTTCCCCTTCCTCTCAATAGATGTCTTGTCACCATAGCTGTCTTGCAGATCTAAGATCTTAAATTTTGTCCCCTTTGGAGCCCTTAATATCTCTCCAAGTTAGCAACCAGGTGTCACTGCTAAGCCACCACACTTAATTTTCTGCTCAATCACTGAGAATATTAAATACTATTTGTTTGTTGTAGCACAACCAGATAAGCTCTGCACAAACCTTCAATAAGTTTAATATCCATAAGAAATGTGCTAATTTGCCCTATCGTACTGGAGTAATGACACAGGAATAACTCTTCTGCCACCTTTATAATACTTATTTGAAAACACAATTGTAGATTGTCATTTTGTTCAGCACTTACACACTGCAAAACAAAAAAACAACCTTGATCCAGTATTAGGTTTCTACTACAATAGCGGTACATAATAATGTTAGATCCTGACTCCATGTGGCGCCCAACGACTAGGGACACGATGATCCAATTGCTTAGAGAGAAAACACTAGCACATATTGCTAGCAACAGCTTTATTCAAAATGAAGACAGCTTCGGACTAGCTCCAACAAACCAGGGAGCCACTATGAACATTAGCTCTTTCCATATTTCTACGCCTTGGTTCATACTCATTAACATTTACTCCACCTTTGTTCCACCCATATTCCCTCCTATCTCAAGTTCCGCCTCTGTTTACTGTTTATTTCATTAGCGTGGAATTACCTATGCATTTAACTTATTTACATGTATTTTTGCTATGAGCGCATGCCTAAAACCATGACCTTGGCTTCTTTGGGTCACTTGCTGTTTCTTGCTGATTTCTTAACCATCTCCAAGGTCTTGTTTCCGCTCATCTCCTAATGATAGCTGGTGGGTTGCATCTTGTTCCTTTTACATAATGAGTCATGTCAGACACACTACCACATTATTAGGAAAATGCTTGCCTGAGCATCTTGCAATGTTACTTTTAATATATCATTCTGCCTTGTGGTTAGCAGCTTTGCTGGGCCACAGGCTATAGCCTTGTATTCAGCTGCAAATCCAATGCTCCCCAAGATCCAAATAGTCACACTAACAAATAAATATTATAGTAATAATTATTCTTTACCCTTCACACCCCTAAGGTGTTCATTTTTCTTTGTCTCTTTTTAGTTGATAAAATCCTCAGGGCAGGATTGGTGCCACCGTTTATGCTTGAAGATGGCCTGGCACATGTATTTCTTACTGTGACAGTATAAAATATACATTGTATTCCAAGTGCTTTATATAGCTTAAAGACTGAAAAAAGACTATGTACTCACCCACTTCAATGTATGAAATACTGATTGGGTGCATCTACATAAGATGCTATATCGCCATACCAATGAGCTACGGAGACACAGCTAATCGCTACAGTGACGTAGTGTTGGCAGGCCCAAACCATGATGCACATATAGACATGCCCACTAATTACAAGAGCAACCTGCAGTAACCTTTTTGTGCCTCATTAAGGCTCATTACCTTATTTCTTAGAGCCCTTATACCTCTAATACCAGCTCTGAAATTGCCAAGATCTAGTCCAGTGGTGTTTAACCTTCTGGATCCATGGACTGGAAGAGTGACATAGGGCCAGTCCGCAGGCCAAATCCAGCATGGGGCAGCGCTCATGGTCAGAACAAAGGCATGATTAGGTGCACCAGCTGGGACATGTAAGTAGTGCCATGAAACAGAAAAAAGTGCAAATCCAAACTGGATGATCAATTAAATCTTACCCATTTTTGTATCATCTGGTTAGTTGGTTTTCTTGTTACACTCCTTTATTCTGGCTCCTCAGTGAGTTACATCAGAATAAACTCCCTTGTACTTAAGGATCCAAATTCAGTGGTGACATACAAGGGGTGGCAGAAGGGCACAATGGCAAGAAAGGTAAGTCATATTTACACAGGCCTTCACTGGCAACGTTCCCCATCAAGTAAATGGAAGGAAGTCTAAACTGGTGTAGTCTGCAAATTGGGGTACCTGGGAAAATGAGGATTGCATGAACATACTCTAGGCCAGATGCAGAAAAACGAACACTGGCAAACAAAATGGTCAAACCTGACATGCTGAAATCCAAGACTATAAAAAAAACAAAACACAACACAACACAACACACATTCAGTAGCCATTAGATTCTTCCCTGTTTGACCTGAAGGTTATCTTAATTACTGAGTTTTGCTTTTGAGCATGCCCAAAAACTACAGCTGGGCACCTATATCCCACTGAAGTCTACTGAGATTCTGGAAGTGGGCAGAATGGCACCAAAATCCTCTGAATAGGCCCATCCTCTGAGTAGGTCATGCCTAACACACAGCACAGGACCAGAACCATCACAAAATACAGCTGCAGTTGCTTTTTTAAAGCAATTAAGATGGTGATGGTGGTCTCAAAACCCATCTTTTGTGATAGAGACTAGTAGTTAGAGCATTTGTTTAGAAAATGGGGAAACCTGGACTTGATCCCTTCCTTACACCTTTGGTGAAAGCATCCTATCCCCCAGTCTTGAAGGGTGTGTCTGAAATTACACTCATCATACCTCCTTCGGGCCATTGTGTAGGAAGGAGCGCATAATATACCCGGCCAGAAAGTATGACTGTGACCGAGTCATGAGGGTATTCCCTTGGAAAGAAAGAGAACTCCTGATTGCAGTCCTTGCTCCCAGGACTGCGTATGCATTTTACATGAGGTAGTCATTGGACAAAACCCACCAATAACCTAGAAATGTAATCAAAATGTACATATTAAGAATGTAGCAATTGTGTGGCAGATAAAGAAAGGACACCAACTACCCACAAAGCCCTAAGGGGGGAACATTCTTTTTTATATGTATTTATTCCACTACAGCATAAATTGGAGTACATAAAAAGCTTTACAGTGATTTTTTTTGCCTGATTTAAAAACAAACTGTTTAATATATCAGTTACACATGTAATTCACCTGAATTGTGCAGTGTCTGAAGCATTGCATCAGTTAATTTATGACAGATAAGTGGCAGCATCAACATGGTTTAATTGAATTTTCACAAATTTGCCTAGTGTTTATCCATCACTAACATTAAAACTTAAAAGCAAAGCACAGGTTGCTGCAATAAACTAGCTTATTGAAAAACACTATTTGTTTGAGATGTGCTTCACTTACAAAAATATACATACTTTCCTAAACATAGTTGCACATATAAGACTATGCTTAGTAAAGCATTTTAACAAGATTGACAGTGTTTTCATTTCTGGCTAAAAATACTTTTAGCCCCCTTCCATCTACCATTATTTTAGTTTGCTTTTGGTTAAATATGTAGTAGTTTGTTGTTTTTCTATCAAGATATTACCTTTTCTCCTTCCTACAGTGCATATGGTAGTAACTTGGGAAGCCCTGTAGAGCTTCTAAAATACAAAAGAGCGTACTAATTCTAGTAAGTATATCCCAACACTTCCCATTTCTTGGAGCCTAAACAAATAGAGAATGAGACCGCACAGGTTATGAATGCAGAATATCCCTAGACAGTGTGCATACCAAATCCTGGTTTAAGCTGTAGAAGTGGAAATTAGTGGAACTATTCCATGTTTACAGTGAATTGCCTGAAAGCAGTATTTGGCCAAACTTACCTATTTAAATTAAGTGGTACTTTTTTCTAAAGAATGATTTAAGCCCTTGCTGTTCTCTCAAAATACACATAGAACTCCTATTCAATCCAATGCAGGTTCAGTGCACAGAACAATTGCAAGATAAATCATTTAAAGACTGATTTATTAAGCAACTCTTACTACAGTTACTCTAAAGATACCACAGATTATCTTCTTCCTCCTCCTTTTAGCTTTTACAACTGTACCAAAATCCCTGCAAAAGGCTCAAACTAGAAAAAAATATAGCTCTCTAACAATTCAGATTTTTATTCTAGTAAAAAAATGCTAGGTGTCACTAGACATAGAACAAGCCAACCTTAAGCTCTGCACTTATAAAATGTAATGCATCTGTAGACCAGGCAACATAAATGGATGCCATAAAGCAAGAAAAGCAAAAAGCTACTCCTAAACAATAGATAAGCAGAGGTACTGAAAGCAACCATGTTGATAGCTAACCAAACAGCATAGGAGGGGTACACCTTGTATGTGAATAATTTATTCTTTTTAGGAATTGAAATTCTCAGATATTTATTTACAAGGGATTACATTTTGCATGGAATTCACATTTGTTACTGCATAAATCTTATTAAAGTGGTATGGTCCACAGCAGGGCTGTCCAACTGGTGGTGTGTGGGCCACAAGAGGCCCCTAAAACATTGGCATATAGTCCATGGTCTCTTGACTGGCTGCCATTCCTCCACCTCCCCTGCAGCTGGTCCTGCCCCAGGAGCTAGGAAAGGGCTGGAGTACCTGAGCTGCACATGAAGCAAAGAAGTATGGCTATCCACACTAAGTGGGTGCTGCGCATGCAGCAGGGGAGAGTCAGGCTGCTGGTACCATGGGAGTGGGGGCTGCCCATGCTATTATGCATGTGGTGGTGGGGGGAGAGGGGCTGGGCAGCCAGTGCAGTGTGAGCAACCAAGAAAAGATGGAGCCAGGCTGGCCACACCATGCATACAGCAGGGGGGCACTGGGAAGGGTGCCCACTTTACCCATTCAGTGTGTGGCCCCTGAGCCTGCAGCCTCTGGCTTTCCAGAAGTTGGACAGCCTTGGTCCACAACACTGCCATTTTATTTCATGGTTTTTACATTGATTGAGAAAACAGTTATTCTTTTGCTAATAATTCCTTTGAATTAGTTTTAAGGTATAAACAAGATCCATACAAATGGACTTACAGCTATTAAAGGTTCCTTTTAATGCAACTGGTTTGTAGATTTACATCTGCTGGTAATGTTTCCTAGAAAGGTGTGTATCTTCACTTTAGCTGACTTGTTCAATCTGTCACTCAAGATACAATTAGGGAAAGAAGGGGAGAAATCACAGTAGGCATGCTTAGGCTTAGAGAGTACGAAACAGAGGCCATGGAATAGAAAACCAGCTAGAAAATGTCACAGAAATCAATCATCTGGCTGCAATTATGCAAATAGTGTATAAAGGAAATTCTACTTGCCCAACTACTTCTACTAATGAAGACCAGATTCTGCTCTCACCTAAACTGAGTAAATAGTAAAAGCAGTTTCCAGCCCAATGCGATCATTCCTAACATGCGTAATGGCAAAACAAAAAATGCCTTAAAATTATTTTTGCAGCACTTTTGATTTACTCTTATTAATTACTGGTTTAGTAAAGGCTATTTGTTTTCTAGTATACTACATCAACAAACATTTTTATTAGGGGGAAAAAGGTAATTTTCAAACTTTTGTGGAAAGCCTGTGGATTATTTTTATGACTGGAAGTCACAGCGATTTCCCACAAATGTGAGGACATTTTCAGGAAATGCTGTCACATTAAAACTGAAAGAAAAGGAATACAAAACCAGTTAGCTTCTTCACTACAACTGTCGTACAGGCACTGTACTAAATAAGGTCTGAAATAAGTCAGGAACTGTACTATCAAAGCTAAAAGGGATACATGCATCTGATCCCTATACTGGTTAAAGCCCCAATTCAGCAAACACGGACAGCTTTTACTTCACTTAATTGCTTAAGTGTTTGCACACAGAATGTTAAATATTCACTCTGATTGCTAGTTAGATGAAAAACAGTCCCCATACACATAAATCATTTTCTTTTTAATGTTCACAGCTCTGCTACTATTTAGAAAATGGTACTTAATTAAGACCAAAACTCCAAATGACATTTTTCCAAATGAGGAATTGACTGGCAAGTCAACTATCAAATATGTGAGTGAATACACAAAAGAAATTCTAACTTCAGTGTTCAATCCCGCTCCACCAACCTGTACTCAAGCCAGGCTAAACTTCATATAGCATAGCCCTGGAGTACTTATTCAAGGCAAGACTTCCCATATATTTACTTGGGAAAGATAGATCTGCTTCACTGAAAGTTTGGACCACTAATTTCTAAACAATGTCTAATTAGACTAACTGTGCAAAACCATGGGGGGTGGGGAATGAAACTGAACAAAAATGAAAAAGATACATAAAAACACAACCCTATAAAATGTAAACTACTCTTTTTCTTTATGTCAAAATGAAGTTGTCTATAGATGAATCAGTTGCCTTGCTTTAGAACTACCAAAGAATTTTACTGTCGATATTCTGCTTAAAGCAGGACATTTTAATCAAATGTAAGAAAAGTCATCTCCTGCTGTTCTTTATGTAAAGTTTCTGTACCCTTCTAGAAGATGAACACTCATAAACTATTCCTTTCCATAATCAAGTGACAATTCCAGGCTGAATTACCAATACTAAAAACACTTGGTCTATTTTAGAAAATGGTTTCTCAGATTGACTTAAATGTAAAGCTACAAAGTTTTGCCTTATCCCTGTGCTGAATGGCTATATATAAAATATAGAAAATAAATGCTAGTGTTTTTTTAACATAGCATGTCTGCCCAGGTGGTCTACATTTTTAGTTCTGAATAACATAACAAAAAGTATGTTCCAACTTCCAACAGGCAAAAAGTCTATCACATTTTTCCATTCTCAAGATTCTGCTCCATAAAAAAATATTCCATGGGATTCAAAATCCAGACAACGATATATGATATTGACGTGTACTGTAATTGACCAGTAAATTAGTAATTACAGCAATCATTAACTTGAAATAAATAAACCAATCTGGCAATTAAAAAATGGGGAAATATTAACATCATGCTAATGTATAAGTATAGCTTGCCTTTGTAGCAAATGCCTTTTTTAGCTTGTTCTCCTATGGTAGCCTTGTACTGTGCTAAAAAGTATCTTGCCACGGGATACTGGACATAAGATGAAGGAGTTAAATGTTCTTAGTCGATTTCAAGGGATTTGCATTTGGTTTAGGTTAATGGTCTTTGATTTACAGTTAATTAAAGAGAAGTGAATTACAAAACATTTTTCCAGAACACAGTGGCATACACAGCCTGTCATGGCTTAAACATCTTTACTTCATATTTGTTATAATTTAAAACTTGTGATAAAAAAACATTATTTACAGAAATCACCTCTTCATCCTGCCACAGAACTTTGCTTCTGCAATAATACGTTATCTTTTAAAAGGTAACATGACTTTTTTCCCCTCTGTGTTCCAAATAGGAACATGTGGCAGACATTTGTGTTGCTTAAAGACCAAGTCTGGTCTCTGTTAAATCATTCATTGTGGTTGAAATTCCTGGGGCCACACCATGCCATGTCTTCATTAAAGAAACTACTGCACCAAAGAAAAAACCAGAAATAAAAATGAAAGGCTGCAATTCAGATGTTCTCCCTATACTTTTCTAACACAGGAAAATGTTTAGTTTACCATCAAAGGTAAACAGAATTCATTCAGGCTATATTGCCAGCACTGTTCATCCAAGAGAGAAGAGAAAACAAAGGGAAGCAACTACTCTTCGCAACAGGGCATACAAAGGAGATTGGCACTATTGTGATAAGCCTCTATTATCAGGGATTCATATCTATGGGAGGGGGAAAAAAACAAAACAAAACATAGTTCTCTTCCAAGATTGAGAATTCGCATTAAGTGTTATCCAAAGATGATCCTTTTTTAGCAGCCTTCTCCCTTAATGCGCATGGCTGGGTATGCGCAGCGCCTGGTGCAGAATAGGATGGCTCTAGATCAGTGAGAGATGGGGTGCCCCATCTTACCTTGTGCTTGCTCATACACTGGCAGCACTCCCCCAAGGGTAGCTGCACCAAGGGCCCACCCCAGCACCACCTTGTCCTGCCACCCTGGAGATGCCTCGAGGCCCCACACAGCGGTGCCATGTTACTGAGCACAGCCCAGAGCCCACTCCTGATGCCAGCCCTGCTCCACAGCCAGCTTCACGGTATGGATGTGCCCTCCTGCTCCCCGGCTCGGTCCGCCCCATCCGGCAGCATCAGTACAAAGGGCAGCAGAAGGCCCTTGCTGTCCTGGGGTGCTTTGAGGAGTTCCGCATCGAAGCTGCCCCGCAGGCCACCATCCGACTCCACCTCACCATCAGCTGCCAAGCTGAAGCGCAGGACACCAGCACGGCTGATGCAGTAGATGGTGCGGCCCAGTGCAGCACAGCGGAAGGGCTGCAGTGCACTGCTACCACTGGGCCGCAGGGAGGCGCACTGGCTCCATCGTTTAGCCACTGTGTTGTAGCGGAAGACCTCAACACCACCACTGCTGCTGCTGCCAGCCTGCTCACCACGGCTGCCACTCACATCGAAGCGGTAGATGAAGTTCTTGAAGGCCACCATGTCAGCAGAGCGGCGGCGGCTGCTGTTGTAGGGGCACTCCTGCCACTCGTCCCGCCTGGGGTCATACTTGAGCAGGCGGTAGAAGAGTGAGCCACCTGACACATAGATCTCCCCATTGCATGTGGTGGCCTCATGGGCCACAGCAAAGGCACCCTTGGGCAGGGGTGCAGCGGTGCTCCAGCGGTCAGCCCGTGGGTCATAGCGCTCCACGGTGAAGAGGCACTCGCCACCCACAGCATACAGGTAGCCGTCCAGTGCCAGCAGCTTGAGCTGTGCCCGGGGCTGGGCTAGTGGGCGCACCTGGCTCCAGTTGTCCGTGAGAGGATTGTAGCAAAACACCTTGTCAGAGGGGCGAGTGCGTGGCTCACCTGGCGCTGCTGCTGCCAGGCCCCCAGCCACAAAGAGGTAGTTGTGGAGCACACATATGGCACAGCCCTTGGCATTGGCCTCATCAGGCAGGCGTGTCAGTACCCGCCATTCACCTGTCACCTCCTGGTAGCAATAGATGAGTGCGCCACTGTCTTCCAGGGATACCACAGAGGAGGGGCTCTGTGGCCGGCTGCTCTCACGGCTCTGTGGCCGGCTTCCCATCCCTCCAGGCCTCTCCAACGCATCGCTCACCTCGGCCACCAGCAGGCAGGGCCGGCTGGCATCCAGGCGGCGCTGCAGGATGAGATCGCGCTCAGCACCACTGAGGCGGCCATAAACACTGGGCTCCCGCAGCACCTCAAGGTAGTGGTCACTCATAAAGCGGTAGGTGGCCTCACGCAGCTCTGTCAGGCGCTGCTTCTTAGCCTGGCAGAGCAGCTGGTAGCAGTTTTGGAGGCTTAGCTGGGCACGCATGGCTTCGGCAGCACAGTGCAGGGCACACGGCATCTGCAGCACACGGGCACCGCTCACCACCTCAGCCAGGTTGTCATGGCGGATGCCACCCATGCGTGCTGTGTACACATAGTCAAGCAGGAGGCGAAGCGCCCCGTAGCTCACGCCCTTGAGTCGCAGTACATCCCGTGATGAGCGGGCACGGAAATAGTCACTCTTGGCTGCCAGCACCGCTTTGTGCGCCCGCACCCGCCGCCCACACACTTCGATCACCAAGTCTGGCTCCTCCCCAGGCCGCAGGCAGCACGGCCCACCCTCACCTGCTTCGCTCTCCTCTTCCTCCTCTGATTCAGATGCCGCACTGTTGATCTCCCACTGGCTTTTCACCACACGGCTGCAGGATGATGAGGATGGTGGTGATGGCGAAGGTGATGGGGAGGCAGCAGCAGCAGCCCCAGGCTCCTGACGTGGTGCTGAGTCTGCTCCTCCGGGTGCACTAAAGCACAAGGAGGAGCTAAAGCCACAAGGCGCCGTCAGGGGCAGCTGGGTGCCACCGCTCTTCTCCTCTTCCGCAGCAGCGGTTGCTGAGCTGCCCTCCATGGGACCAGCTAGGTGGCTGCAGTAGCTGCTCTGTGCTTCCCCTGGAGCTGTTCCCACGTTTGTTAGTTGCTGCTGTGGCTGCTCCACCTGCCCACGCAGCCCCTCCGTGCCGAGGCTCCCATCACCTGGGTAGAGGACACAGGACAGCACTGAGCTCTCCATGGCTGCAGCCAGTGCTAGATGCAGCTCTTCCCTCCCCCACCCCACTGTGTATATCTTTGTGGTTGAATGCCGTTGTGGGTCTTTCTTGCTCAACTTCCCTTCCTGGCACACAGGCAATCTGGGCGTGGGTTGCAGCCCTGGGCGCCTCTTCTGTGCCCCCTGCTGCTGAACTATTGACCTTGACTCCCTCCCTAGTGGATGTCTGTACTCAGAATCTACTCGCTGCAGTTTATCCTCCCATCATCCCTTTGGGTGGTGCTCCATGTACTGACTGTGCATTCAAGTGCCCTATTTCCTGGGGTAAGTACAAGTTTATGGTTCTTTTCTGGCCAAATTAATCTTTTACTAGTCTTTTTCAGCTTGCTTTCCCCTCCTCCCCAACACCCCTCAGTAAGATGCACGTGTGCTTTAGGGAGTCAAACAGTACTGGGTTTTAACAGGTGTCTTTCATTTAATTTGCCTAGATTCATATATCATTCCTGCATCTCCGAATTCAGTTAATACGGCCCCCAAGCTGGAAAATTTCACTGTGTTGTCTCAGTTCCTCAAACTTGATCCAAAGACCGTAGTGGGACTTTTTCTTGCCTTGGAAAGTGCAGCAAAAGAGGCATCAAAGTTCAGTTTGCCAACTGCTGTCCCACCACCTGATATGTGGCATCCTTTTATACTGATTATTCAACAGACTGGACTGGGTACCAAGGGAATGGAGTCATTTAAGATCGGATCATCTGAAATACTGTTAAATCCAATATTTATTCACCTTATGTAGTTATTTTAGCATAACCAATAAATTTTGGAATGAGATTCCCCATCAGTGAAGATGTCCCTGGAGGTACAGACTTCTTTACTTGAACTTCAAGGTAGTTTCTTCAGTCCACTGTTTCACAAAGGATTATACAAATTTGTTATTCCTCCTGTTTAAAAGAAATGATAGAAAGTTGGTCAGTTTAAAATAAACCAGTTCGCTGTCTAGCTGCCTTATCTCTTCACCCAAGGCCTTATCCTGGGGAAAGCTGAACTCTCATAACATTTTCCTTTAATGAGGGAAACTGTGTCCTGAACATTTATTCTGGAATTGACTAAAATAATGTTAGTGAAAATCACAATCTTTTTTTTCAAAGAAAAGCATACTGGAGAATTACTTGATACCATGTCAAAAAATGTTATTAACTAGTATGCCCGTAACTGACATGGATTAACTGTGTACTGCATTATCTTAATGTAATAATACATGAAGTGTTCTAGTCTGACCCAGCTGGGAAATGCTCATGGCTTCCATTCATAAAGAATAAGAATCTGGTAAAAATTCAGAAAATACAGATCTGCACCTGAAGTTTGGTCTATTCTTGAAGATTTACTAGAAAATTGAAGTCTTTGGGCCATAGGTGAAACTCATATCAGTTTTCCAGATTACAGTAGAAGTGCTGTAGACTGGAGATTATCTTTCCGTTCTTTACAATTTAGAATTTTAATAACATTTTTACATGGTGGTGAGTTTAAATTCTGATGAATGGTAAGAGCATATTAATACATTTTCCAAATACATTTAATTTAATAATATATTCATTTGCAATAGTGACCCCATAGCTAAAGTTAATTCATTTCCATTACCACTGCAATGTGACCCACTTTCTACTTTCATCAAAAATACCAATTTCTGCCTAAAACATTTCACATGTTCTCTTGAGAGACAAAATTTATTAAGTGTTAAGCTAACTCAGGAATTTTACAGCTATGAGTTCAAAAACATGTTTTTAAATTAAACTTTCTAAGATGCTCTCTTGAAGTTTTTTTTACTCAAACACAGCTTTATCTAGAAGCTCCAAATGTGGAGTTGAAAACTGCAAGCCCCAACTGACATTCCTCACTTCAGTGAGATAACTTGTATGGATACAGACACGAATGATTATTTGTAAGGACTTGAGAACTGAGTTTCTAGTCTGCAAAATCTTCACTGAGGATTTTTAGGGCATTTGGTTCCTTTTAGAAGGTTGGTATATGAATAGTGGGCTTATTTCTTGTGAATATTTGAACCACCAGGAAACACAATGGGTTTTCTCCTACTGATCCCTAGGTCTCTAGAAATAGAGCAATGGGTCTTTTGTTCTCCTCCCTGCTTAGCCAGACATTATGTACACTCCTTCAGTCCCCTGAGTATTACCAGAGGACCCACTGCACACTTTGTAGCTTGGACTGTGCGAGTCCTATATTGCAATAGGCAATTTTCCATGCATGGCAAATCTTAAGAGTAGCAACAGCCAGTGGAGGAGGCACTGGATTCCTGCAGCTTCTTAGGTTTCTAATATTCTGAAGAGGTGACATAGAGATATACATGTAAAACACAGTGACACATTCAAGACACATAGGGCATCTAATATAATGAATATATTTTTCAGTCTTCATATTCCTAAATTCACAGAGTAGCTATTTTCCACTTAAAATATCATATTGGAGCCAGGAGGATATATACAGCTTCTGTTTGAGGGTTTCCTGAAAATCCTGATTGTCAGCTTCATTCTAGAGTAAGCTTTGTAACGGATATTTTAAAAATGCCAAGGACCACAGACTGTTCTGTCAAAATTTTCTAAAAGGCTAAGCCCTTGGATTTTGCCAGGAAAGTTTTGGCAAGCTTTTATCATATAGCATACAGATCAAGTGTCTTAAGTGATGACAGACTTTGTGTTTGATATATACTGTAAATTCTGGCTTGTCATGGGGTCCCCGAGTGCCATTATACCAGCCCTTGTTTTACCAACCTTTGTAATGTGCCACGTGCATTAGGGCTTGGGTAAGCACTTGAGTTGCTAAGACTCCATGAGTGCATCCAGACTAGCACAGATGTGCTACTTCATAAAGCAGGGGAGTTTTTTGACCCCAGGAGATCCCATGCCAATGCCAAAAAAAAGGGGTGGCACATGTGGCAGCAGTGTGCACTGCCCAAAACTGGAGCCTGGCTGGCCAGAGTCAAACTCCAGCTGCCAGCCAGGCTTTGTGCCATGGCTGCAGCCACAGGAGGCATGCAAGCTCCAGGTAAAACTGCTGGGCCCAGCACAGTTGCTGACCACAGCCTCCCCTACCCCACCTGGGGTAACCTGCCACATGCTAGATCATGCATGGCATGGGCATTCCCCAGAAACAAGGTGTGCCACTGCTACTTGTCCCTGGGGAAACAAATGTCCATGGTTATCTGGACATGCCCCATGAGTCTTAATACCTTGAGGATGAACTGTGTCTATAGCTTTCAATAGTAGATACTTCCAAGGACCCCAGACACCCTGCCTTTGTGACCAGCTCTTCCTACCTTCTCTTCATGGCCTACATTCATTCTCAGCAAAAGGAAATCAATCAAGTTTTAATCTCAACAGATTCATCACCTCGGGATAGATTCACACTCAGGGAGCTGACACAAGGGATGTTTTGTCATGCAATCAGGCCCCAGAAGCATGCTTACAGAAGGGCACAGCTGCAGAGCACCTGAAAAGGGCCCAGTCCCATGACAATCTGAACCCTCATTACATGAGGTTTCAGATCAAGGTGCCCCAAAGCAAAGCACCTTCATTAACTTGTGTCTGTGTGCACTGGGAACAGGGCTGAGCTGATGCAGCCCGGCCCTGCTCCTGTTTCCGTTTTTATAATGGGAGAGGTAGAAGAGAGTGGAGGGAAGTCCACCTGGGGGATGCCCAGCCTGTGCTGGGGTGTGAGGTGGGTGGACTGGAGCCCCAGCCCCCTCCCCACCTCTAACACAGGCTAGGCAACCCCTAGACTGAGCTCCTTCTGCTTCTTTCCCCTCCTATTCTGATGACAGTACTGGAGCAGGGAGGGGATAGAGGGGGAGGGTGGCTGCAGACTCACAGCTGCTGCAAACTGCTTTAATCCCCCAAGCCCTGGGAACAAACAGCAAACATAAGTTGGGCCCAGGGGATCGATTCCTGCAAAGCACCATGAGTTACAGCAGGGAGCTGTACTCCCTGCAGTCAGCGCTCTCAAGAGATCTGTTACTGGGTGCTTAAGTTGAAGAAATAAAGGAAAAATTAAAGGAAGAATTAAAAGAATGTAATCAACATTACATTCATGATTATATAAATGACAGCAATGAGAAAACAACAGTTAAAATTATCTACCTATGGGGAAAAAAAATTAAAAATACAAGAAAAAGCTCGAAATATTGTATTCAAGTGGCTAAAAATGCCTACATTTACTCAGAGCATGAAAACAGCATGAAAAAGATGATACCCTGCTTAGGAACAATAACCCAAAACTTTTCACATATTTAACCATGTTTTTAGCTTGGAAGTTGAACTCAGTACTGAAACCTATTTAGAAAAAGGACGCACTTCAGGTTGTCCTAATAAACAGTATGAAGTTAAAATCTTGAGCTGCTAAATTGATATAGGATTTCCTAGCTCCTCCGTACCCGAACAGAATAAGAAGACTCTATCCAACTGCCATTAGCACTTTGAAATGTGTACTGACTCTAAGAAGGACTTTAGTGAAAACAGTATACATTTTACGTTGCAAAGGGCACAGCAGAAAGACGTTAAACTCTCACTATCTACCGAAGTTGAATTTGGTAGATCACAAACTAGTCCCTCTAGTGCTGCCATCTCAGTGGAAATATGGCTTGGTCCACTTAAAAAACAAGCACTAACATCATATAAAAATAATTACGAGAAACAATTTAGGGAAACTATGGAAACTTGCCAATATCAAGAGAACATGATTGATCTCAAGTATGAAGGTCATAGGTTAAACATGAAACAGGAAGAAGCTGAGAAATAATTGATGGAATATAATACTGAGTTCCTTCCTTCACTTCTAGCATTTAAAATCAAACATCCATATTATGTCAAATATATATTAGTGAAAGAGGATGTATTAGTGTTGCAACAAAATGGTCAAGAATTACGGAATTAATAGCAGAGAAAATTCATAACTCTCATTTTTTAAACTACTTATACTCCTGTCCTGACAGGCTGGCTTCAATCAAATAGGATTTTAACAAATGGGAAGCATGCATCATTAGCATTTCTTGCCAACAACAATAGGTCTGGATCATTAGTAGACTGCAGACTCTGATATCGAAGCTTTATTAAATGGACTCAACCCAATTTTTATCATCATGGGCTTGGTCTGGGGTGATGTAATGATAGCATTTTAATGGACACAGGATCTGCCAACAAACATGAGCTATAGCTGCAGACTTGGCAGTGACACGCTTGCAATGTCCTGGACATGTGCCCCTGATTTAGCAAGCTGAGAAACACAGCTTGAGTAAAGAAACACAGACAATAAGCAGTGTTTTTTGTTTTTTTTCCTGACACAGAAAGCTGACCATAGTGACAAGCTAGAGGTAATATTTCCTTGGTTTGAAGTCACCCAGCTACCCTTTCTTAATATCCAGTTAGACGCATGTTTCCAATTATTTTTTTACTCTAGTTTCTCTCTCTCCCATGTGCATGTGTGTGTGTGTACTGTGCTAAACTTTGACCCTGTACCAAAAAGAAATGTGTAGGAGTATTAATCATGGAACCAGGTCTGGCTCTCTAGATCACAAACAATGCATGAAAGCAAACAATCTACTTCCACCCATGCCGAATAAGTAAGTGCAGCCCTTAATCTACATAAGCCAATCTAATTTACATGAAATAGTGATAGTCCTTAAAGAACCATAAACCAGCTGTATAGTGAGGGCATACATAAGCTATTACTCCATTCTTTATTGCTAATGCCAGGGTGAGGAGCAGAAAGAGGTTG